TTACTGTCACACGTCTCTTCGCCACAATTGTCAGTGATCCTTCCTTTGAGTCTGCTGATGCATCTGCTCTTGTTCCTGAGCTTGTCGACTTTGCTGCTCGCTGTCGTCTAGACTACGCTGCTAGTCTTGTTGCTGAGTCTGAGTCTGTCTGTCCTCCGTCCGTCAGGGGTGAGTGTGCACTTAGCTCGGACGTCCTTGAGGACAGGCAGGAGGAGTTCCAGTGTTTTGCTGTGCTTTACCTCATCTCGTGGCCATGCTTCTTGCCCCTGAGGGAGACCCGGATGCACCAGACATCCCGACCCCGCGCTCTTACGCAGAGGCGATAGAGGGTCCCTACTCCTCTTAGTGGCAGACAGCCATGGATGCAAAGATGGCTTCCTGGAAGTCCACAGGCACCTACGTCGACGAGTTTCCCCCACCTGCGGCGAATATTGTTGATGGCATGTGGATTTTCAGGGTGAAGCGGCCGCTGGGTTCTCCGATTGTCTTTAAGGCGCGTTACGTTGCACGAGGCTTCAGTCAGCGGCAGGGAGTTGACTACTTCCAGACCTTCTCTCCCACCCCGAAGATGACCACTCTTCGGGTGCTGGTGCACGTCGCCGCTCAGCCTGACTACGAGGTTCACTCTCTTGAATTCAGCACAGCCTTCCTACAAGGCAGCCTACATGAGGAGATCTGGCTGCGTCGCCCACCTGGCTTCACTGGGTCGTCTCCTCCTGGCACCCAGTGGAGCCTCCGACGGCCAGTCTACGGTCTCCGCCAGGCACTTTGTGAGTGGCACGACACACTGAGGACTACACTGGCGGCTCTTGGGTTTGCTCTTTCTACTGCTGACCCGTTGCTGTTTCTACGCACCGACACTTCGCTGCCGCCGTTCTATATCCTCGTGTACGTCGACGACTTGGTTTTTGCCACTGCTAACACTGAGGCACTCACTCTAGTGAAGTCGGAGCTACAGAAGAGATACACGTGCACAGACCTGGGTGAGCTCTACAGCTATCTTGGCTTGCAGATCACTCAGGACAGAGCACGCCGCACCATCACCTTGACCCAGTCACACATGGTGCAGCAGGTCCTTCAGCGCTTCGACTTCCAGTACTCCTCGCCACAGTCCCCTCCTCTGCGTACCGGTCACTCGCTCTCAGCTCTGCATTCGGATGAGTCTGTAGAGCTGAGTGACCCGTATCCTGAGCTTGTGGGCTGCCTCAAATACCTGATGACCTGCACTCGTCCTTACCTTGCTTACCCTCTTAACATCCTGGCACGCTACGTTGCGCCCGGGAGACATCGACCAGAGCACTGGAAGGCAGCTAAGAGGGTGATGCGCTACTTGTGCAGTACGTCGGGCATGGGGCTCGTGCTTGGGGGACGGGGTCCAATTGTTCTCACTGGTCACGCAGACGCTTCTTGGGTTGACGACTTCGCTACACAGCGGTCGTCACAGAGTTACACCTTCAGCCTTGGCTCCGGTTCTGTCTCTTGGCGGTCTACCCGCTCGTCTTGTGTTCTCAGCTCTAGCTGTGAGGTTGAGATCTACGTAGGGGCCATGGCTGCTCAGGAGCTATGCTAGCTCTCCTACCTGCTGACCGACTTGGGCGAGGCGCCTCGTTCTCCTTTAGTTTTGTACGTCGACAACAAGGCAATGCTTGCCTTGTGTCGCGAGCAGAGACTGGAGCACAGAACGAAGCACATCGCTCTTTGCTACTTCCTTGCTCGAGAATTGCAGCAGCGTGGTCAGCTTCGTCTTGTCTACGTGGCCTCTCAGGCCAACACTGCTGATATCTTCACCAAGGCACTTCAGCCTTGTGATCATCAGTGGATCTGTACTGTTTTAGGTCTTGTTCCCACTTTACCTGACTTGCTCACTTCTTGACTTTGCTTGTACTGTGATCTCTATATGTACATGCCTGCTTACACTTGCTAGGTTGTGATCATTCTCTTACTTGTTCACCTTGATTTATAGTCCTGCATGTGAACTGGCCTTTTTGGCCACTTGCTTGTGCTCGGAATGTGTGGTGACGTCGTGATCCACCCTAAGCTTGCTTTGCTATTCTTGACTGGTTTTGTGACCTCTTGTTCTCCCCCACTTTGCCTATGGGGGTGTGTCAAACTTATTTGCTGTACTCTTTGTAGGCTATAGTGGGGTAGATAATATGGGGTACAACACTTTTAGGTTTGCTACTTGTACCCACCTGTTCCTTAGTTATTCTCATTCCTCGTACAATTCTCACTTCTGGTAACCACGAAAGAACCAATCATTGACAAACATGCGACAATATCGCACAATCAGGCCAAAACTTCAACTGCAAATCTGACACATCCCTGTAAATCGGCTACCAAATGTGTCTGTTTTGAAGATGTGGCCGATGGGTGGTCGACTAAAGTGGACCACGTAGTCAGCTTTCGCGGAAAATTTTGTAGACTAAATGGTAGACTAATATCCAGCCAGAACAGCTTTTAGCGGATCTGACTCACGGTTCAGGAAGGCGTGACTGACCTTCCTCATCCCGTCATTTCAGCTGTTGCGCTGGCCAACACCGCCTAGGTGGGTGTCGAGTGCTTTGGCAGAGCTCTAGTGAACAGTAGTGTAAAACGTCGCTAACATTAATGCGGCGGGGTGGAGTTTGCTAGGTTTCAGAGCGGTTAGTCTTGTTTTTGTAACGTTCAGGTAGGGTTCTGAACAAGCGACGACCAATGACACTCCCTGATCATCCCCGTGGTTTGGGCATGACTTATCATATGGGCATGGCGTTTCCTCAACCTCCTATCTCCCTGCCCTTCGCCCACAATTTTGAAATGCTGAGTCCCCTTGTGAGATCTTTGACCCCTGAACCATGATCATCTCAACAATCACTGTTATCACCCATCATAACTCGCGACAGGATATCGCGATTCGGCATGTGCTGTCGGGTGATAAACGAGTAGATGGGAAAAGTGTGAACTACTGATTTGTCATCGCGAGTAGCGGGTGTTTACTCAGGTTCTAGCACTCACTCGCCGACACGGGCTAGGGTGGGCAAGCTTCGAAACGGTGTCGACGCATCGCATTCTCGCTCCATTTTCTACTGTTTTAGTTCGAGCGATAAGGAGCCAGAGGCGTCGCAGGAGCTCGTCGCGTGCGACCGTTGCGTCGCAGGAGCTCGTCGCTTTCCATTCTCGTCGTAAATGCGAGGATTCAATATTCGTGAGACGACGTAACAGTTTCGAGCTTTTAGAGAGGATACGATAGCGCTGCCGCTGGGCCGTTGTCCAGAATGTGACTAAACACCATAATGCAGTATTTTAGCGAGCACTAAACGCCTACACCAAAGTCCCGGTGAAGATTCTCATGTGAAACGAGTCGTCCAAACTCGACGTATTAAAAGGAAACAGAACATAAGATACAGACATATTCGTATCTTCTGCGTGTATTTGAGGTCCAAAATGCCGCAATCGTCACCGCAGCTGTACTCGCGGGTGCCGCTGACCGAGCTGAGCGTCGCTGACCTGGACACCACGGAGCTTATATCGGTGGACCTTGAATCGAGTACGAGGTGAGGGCGTATCTTGCCAAGCCATTCCATCAGCTAATTTGTCAGCCCTTCCGTTTGCCATTCCTTTAGCCGTTCCGTCAGCCAATCCGCTAACCATTCCGTCAGCCATTCCGTTAGCCGTTCCGTCAGCCAATCCGTTACGTCAGCCATTCCGTCCTGGTTTCTAGCTTGCAATCACCAACCTTTCCTCACCTTCCATTCTCCAGCCCAAGGCGTACTGAGTGCAGTGCACTGCAATGCAGTGCAGTGCAGTGCAGTGCAGTGCAGTGCAGTGCAGTGCAGTGCAGTGCAGTGCAGTGCAGTGCAGTGCAGTGCACGGTGATTTCTTCTGAGATGCCTCAGACGTTTTCCATTTCGGAATAAAAAATTCGTAACTTCCACCCTCAACCCAAACCATCCCACCCCACTCCACCCCATACCACCCCGGCCCCTTATCTCCCACCAGCCAAGGCACACTGAGTGCACGATCGACTGTGAGCGAAGGATATGGCTCGAATGCTTATGGTTCGGAAGGGTCCGCAGCGGCAGAGGGAGGGCGGGAGGAGAGGCACGGAGGGAGGCTCGGAGGGAGGCTCGGGAATCACCATCTGGAGTTGTTTGAGAGCGACAGGCTGGTGGATGCCATTGGGGTGAAGAGGTATGCTGTGCGGTGAAGAGGTAAGCTGTGGGGTTAAGAGGTAGGCTTTGTGGTGAAGTGGCATGCAGTGGGGTGCAGATGTATGCAGTGTGGGGCGGATGAAGTGAGACCAGGCAGGCTGGGTGCATGGCTCCACTCGTTAAATAAAATGGAAGTCAAAAGTCACAGTATTGAAGATTATAAACCCTTTTGTTATTTTGAAGCTCTAGTGCGCCTCAGTCTTGCACCCGACGAGAATGGGTTGAAAGTACGTTAAAAGTCTGGTGAAACTTGCGTGAAAATAGTCTGAAATTTGGGTGACCTACAGAGGTCTCAATATTGCACTGTTCATTCCAATTCTGTCACGTGAACTCCATCTCATGCCTTCCCAAACCACCTCATTCCACGCCATCTTATATCACCTTATTCCACGCCATTTTATACCATCGCAATAACCTTGTTCCACGCCATCCCATATATCACCTCACCTCATTTCACCCCTTTCCACACCATCCCATATCACCTCATCCCATATCACCGTCCCATGGTACCACACACACAATTGACCCCTCTGAAAGTCCCCATATCTCAAGTGCGACTAACTTTTTTTTCCGTCTGCCGTGTCTTCTCCTGTCCTATTAAGGTTATCTTATCTCACTCATACCGTCTGACTTCATACCATGCCACCACATCACACCACATCACATCACATCACACCACAGGATGGGCACGGCCTTTTCCCCCAAGAGTCCCCAGGACTCCGAGACTGAATCTCTGCAAGTGCATCGTGATCATGACAATGTGCGTGCTGCTGGTTGCTCTATCCCATGCTTCATTTGACGTTTCCCTCAATGTCCTTTTACGCTTTACTCAATGATTTTCTTTGTGGTTACACTGGATTCAGTGTTTCATTAAGGGATTACATGGCATGCCTTATTCGAGGTTTTGTTTGCAGGTTTCGTTTGATGTTTCAAATTCTACCAATGCTATAGACTTTTCTCCGAGAATTTCTTCGTAGCATCCAACTTCCCCCGCATTTGCGCAACCCTTCCCCCTTACCCTCTCTCTCCTGACCACCTCCATATTTCCCTCTCTCCATTTCCCCCCGGCCCCATCACAGGGCAAGCTGGGCACGCTCACAGGGGTGTACATCCCGTGTGTGCAGAGCAGAACACGCATGCTGTGAAAGAGGTGCCTCAACAAACCCCTTTGCTCCGCCTTCTCTCTCCCCCTTCCCCATACTTCCTCTTCTCCCTTTCCAGGAACCGTCACAGGGCAAGCTGGGCACGCTCACAGGGGTGTACATCCCGTGTGTGCAGAACATCCTGGGAATCATCTTCTACATCCGCCTCTCCTGGTGGGTGCTGGCTTGCTTGCCTCTCGTGGAGGTCCCTCCCATCTGTTGTGGGGGTCCTCCCTGGCCGGCTGGGTCCCACCCACCGGTGCTGCTCACAGGGGTGTACATCCCGTGTGTGCAGAACATCCTGGGAATCATCTTCTACATCCGCCTCTCCTGGTGGGTGCTTGATTGCCTGCCATGCCATGTCATGGGGTTCCCACCTGTTTTGGGTGAGGTCCCACCTGTCAGTTGTGGGGGTGGGGTCCCACCTGTGCTGCTCACAGGGGTGTACGTCCCGTGTGTGGATGCAGAACTTCCTGGGGATCATCAGGATGTGCACTCACAGGGGTGTACGGTACGGTGGACATACTAGGAAAGGGTTTTCTGGGTGTACGGTACGGTGGACATACTAGGAAAGGGTTTTCTGGGTGTACGGTACGGTGGACATACTAGGAAAGGGTTTTCTTTCTACATTCGCCTGTCCTGGTTCATTCCCATCTATCCTCTTGTCTTCCCACCTGGTGCTCAGAGCGTCCTGTTCAGACAGGGTTGCTGTCTTTGCAGCAGACCTAAGCTAAGCTCTGGACCCTCAGGTCATGATTCCTGACGCTTCATTCTTGAGCCCTGGGCCCTGTGCCCTGTGCCCTGTGCCCTGTGCCCTGTGCCCTGTGCCCTGTGCCCTGTGCCCTGTGCCCTGTGCCCTGTGCCCTGTGCCCTGTGCCCTGTGCCCTGTGCCCTGTGCCCTGTGCCCTGTGCCCTGTGCCCTGTGCCCTGTGCCCTGTGCCCTGTGCCCTGGGCCCTGTGCCCTGTGCCCTGTGCCCTGTGCCCTGTGCCCTGTGCCCTGTGCCCTGTGCCCTGTGCCCTGTGCCCTGTGCCCTGTGCCCTGTGCCCTGTGCCCTGTGCCCTGTGCCCTGTGCCCTGTGCCCTGTGCCCTGTGCCCTGTGCATGGCAGGATAGTGGGCATAGCAGGTGTGAGCGGGAGCCTGATGGTCGTGGCAGTCACATGTGCAAGCACGTTCATCACAGCGCTCTCCCTCTCTGCTGTTGTTACTAACGGTGCCATGAAGGTGAGAATATGTTGCTGCTGCTGCTGCTGCTGCTTGTGAAGCTTGTTTGGGTGGTGGCATTGACATGTGCCAGCACATTCATCACAGCGCTCTCCGTCTCTGCTGTCGGCACCAGCAGCGCTATGAAGGTGGGGTGATGACACTGTTGCTGCAGGTATTGGAATTGGAGTGATGTTTGTGGTGGTAATGGTGGTAATGGTGGCAACGTTGGTAGTGGTGGTGGCGGTGCTGCTGTTTTGGTGGTGGCACTCGTGTCACATGTGGCACTCATGTCACATGTGGCACTCATGTCACATGTGGCACTCATGTCACATGTGGCACTCATGTCACATGTGCCAGTACAGCACGTGCATCACAGCGCTCTCCGTCTCTGCTGTCATCACCAACGATGCCATGAAGGTAAGCTTATTGTGTTGCCGCTGCTGCTGCTGGTTGTGGTGCTGCTACTGCTGCTACTGCTTGCTTATGGTCGTGGCAGTCACATGTGCCAGCACGTTCATCACAGCGCTCTCCCTCTCTGCTGTCATCACCAACGATGCCATGAAGGTGGGTAGCTGGTGCTTCCCCCATGCCCCATGCTCATTCGTTCCATTCTCCATGCCCCATGCCCCATGCCCACTCCTGCATGCTGCATCACTCGAACCCCCCTCTCCCCCAAGGCCGGAGGTCCCTACTACCTAATCGGTTGGGCCTAGGTGACTTTTGAGTCGACTCAAAAGTGGCCCCAAGGTGGGGGTCAGCATCAGCCTCTGCTTCATGCGTTCCCCTCCCCACCCCATGCCCCATACCTGTTTCCTCCATACCCATGGGCCATGCCCCACGCCCATCCCTTGAACCATTCAGGGCGGAGGTACCTACTACCTGATCGGCTGTGACTTGGTTGGGCCCCGAGGCTGGGGGTCAGCATCGGCCTCTCTTCCACATGCCCTACTTCCCATGCACATTCCCTCATTGCATGCCCCATCCCCTACATGCCCCATCCACCATCCCTTGAATTGAACCCCCCAGGGCGGAGGTCCCTACTATCTCATCGGCCGTGCCTTGGGGCCAGAGGTGGGGGTCAGCATCGGCCTCTGCTTCTTCTTTGGCAACGCCATTGGTGGATCGCTGTGAGTCAATAAAAGTCAACCAAGTCAACGGGGTAATTTGAAACAGCAGAGTCACTGGGGCCAGTGGAGCTGTCAATAGGGTCAAAGTCTCAATGGAGTCAGTGAAGTCAACGGGGTTGGCAGCATCGGCCTCTGCTTCTCCTTTGGCAATGCCATGGGTGGATCACTGTGAGTCAACCAAAGTCAATGAATTTATTAAAGCGAATGGAGTCAGTCCATGGGGTCAATCCATTGCCATAGGAAGGTCAACTTGGTCAATTCATTGCCATAGGAAGGTCAACGGGGTCAGCATTGGCCTCTGCTTCTCCTTTGGCTATGCCATTGGTGGATCGCTGCAAGTCAAACAGAGTCAATGAAGACAACATGGTAGTCTGGAGCAGCCTCCGGGCGGCGGAAGCTCTTCTGAACGCTTCGCCTCATATGAATCTCTTCTCACGTTCGTTCCCTCTACCTCCATTCAATTTCAATTCCCCCTTCTCTCCCCCCCTCTTTCTCCCCTCCCCCCCCCCCCCCCCCCCCCCCCCCCCCCCCCTCTCCCACTCCCAGCTACATTCTGGGCAGTGGAAACTCTTCTCGACGCCATGCCTCAAATGGCTCTCTTCCCACCTTCGTTCCGTTTCTATCCTGTCCCTCCGTCCCTCTTTCCCCTCTCCTCTTGTCCCTCTCCCCCATTCACTTCCTTGCAGCTACATTCTGGGGGCGGTGGAAACTCTTCTCGACGCCATGCCTCAAATGGCTCTCTTCCCTCGTGCGTTCCCCCTCCTAAACCCTAAACCCTATACCCTGGTTTGGACTCTGTCTCCCTGCCGTTGCAGTTATAAATCATGTACGTGAAGTACAAGCTGAGCCATGCTGTGTGTTTGTAGTCGTTCATTGTCCTCTTCTCGACGAGATGTATTCATGATGAGCCATGTCTAAGGGTGTAAATACGAATACGAATACGAGTTATGTATTCGAATATTGGTCAAATATCTAGTGCGATCTGTATTTGATCGAGTAGTGGCTGAAAGTCAAATACGAATTCGAGTCGAATGCGCTCGATTACGAGTCGAATACAAATCGACTCGAGTATGGGTGTTACCACCCTGGATTGTGTGTTCTAGGAAGCAAACCTGTACTTTAGTTCGTGCAACCCCACCAAGGTTCAAGCTTCCCTTTTCAAGATGCTAGGTACGGTATTTGTATGATTTTATTGAATAGTTTTTTAACTATGGGCCTCACAGTGACTGCCGTCTATCCGCTCAAACGCCCTCAAAAGGCAAGAATGGAGAGGTATGTTGCACACCCGGTTGAAATACGAATACTCGTTCGAATATTCGAGTTTAGGAAACCGAGTATTTGTATTTGCGAGTTTGGAAAACCGAATAATGTCAAATAGGGAAAGGCAACTCGCTTTGATTTGTATTTGACATTTGGTCGAATATCGGATACAATTCAAATACCTTGCTATTTGTTTTCAGGCTTACAGTGTGCCTGTTCTGATCACCAATGGCCACCTCTCCTCCCCTCCTTATCCCTCTCACAGGCGCAAGCCATGACAAAAACGGTGCGGGCCGCAGTGAATGCGGCTGAAGCCACCATCAACGGCCGGTGACAGGGACAATATGACTGTGCTATATTCCTCCCTTCCTTCCCCCTCCTGCCAGCGCAAGCCATGTCAATGACGGTGCGGGCCGCAATGAGGGATCCCCACCTTCCTCAACTGTTCTGTTTCTCCACTCTTCCTTCCATCTCATGCAGTCGTTTCTTCCCAGCGCAAGCCATGGCAGTGGCGGTTCAGGCAGCAGAGAGCCCTCCCTTGCACCCCTCTCCCTCTGTTTCCTTTCTTCTCCCCTCTTTCTCCCCTCTTTCTCCCCTCTTTCTCCCACACACTCCCCAGGGCAAGCCATGACAGTGACGGTACAGGCAGCAGTGAACGCGAGTGAAGCTGCCATCACTTCCCACCACTCCCCCTCTCTTCCCTCCCTTTCCTATCCTCCCCGTTTTCCAGCTCAAGCCATGACAGTGACGGTGCAGGCAGCAGTGAATGTGACTGAAGCCGCTGTCAACGGAACCTTGGCTGCTGCGCCAGTAGCAGCAGAAACGGTGCTCTCGGTGTCAAGACACGACATGCAGGTGGGCGCGCGTGAGAGCAGCAGGTAGGGAGCAGGTGGGCATGTGTGAGAGCAGCAGGTAGGGAGCAGGTGGGCATGTGTGAGAGCAGCAGGTAGGGAGCAGGTGGGCATGTGTGAGAGCAGCAGGTAGGGAGCAGGTGGGCATGTGTGAGAGCAGCAGGTAGGGAGCAGGTGGGCATGTGTGAGAGCAGCAGGTAGGGAGCAGGTGGGCATGTGTGAGAGCAGCAGGTAGGGAGCAGGTGGGCATGTGTGAGAGCAGCAGGTAGGGAGCAGGTGGGCATGTGTGAGAGCAGCAGGTAGGGAGCAGGTGGGCATGTGTGAGAGCAGCAGGTAGGGAGCAGGTGGGCATGTGTGAGAGCAGCAGGTGAGCAGCAGGTGGGCATGTGTGAGAGCAGCAGATAGGGAGCAGGTGGGCATGCGTGAGAGCAGCAGATAGGGAGCAGGTGGGCATGCGTGAGAGCAGCAGGTAGGGAGCAGGTGGGCATGTGTGAGAGCAGCAGGTAGGGAGCAGGTGGGCATGTGTGAGAGCAGCAGGTAGGGAGCAGGTGGGCATGTGTGAGAGCAGCAGGTAGGGAGCAGGTGGGCATGTGTGAGAGCAGCAGGTAGGGAGCAGGTGGGCATGTGTGAGAGCAGCAGGTGAGCAGCAGGTGGGTGTGGTACACATGGTGCAATGCAGGGCAGTCCAGACACGACATGCAGGTGGGCGTGGTACACATGGTGCAATGCAGGGCATTCCTTTTCCTCTGTCTGCCACTGTCCCACACCAGGCATCTGCCTCTGCCTCATCTGCCTCTGTCTGCAGGGCATACGGCATCATCATCATCACCACCATCTGCCTCTGCCTCGTCGTCTTCGGAGGAGTGCACCTGATGATGATAGCTGTTCTTCTCTCTGTACGCCCCCCTCTCCCCCCCACCCACCCTGTCACACCAGGCATACGGCATCATCACCACCATCTGCCTCTGCCTCATAGTGTTCGGAGGAGTGCATCTGGTGGACCGCGTTGGATCGCTCTTCATCATCCCTGCCCTGATGCATGAGTCTCATGTTCAACCCTCCTCTCCCTTCCTCCCACTTCTACCTCCTCACGTCACATATCCCTCCCCCCCCACCCCCCCCGACACCAGGCATACGGCATCATCACCACCATCTGCCTCTGCCTCATTGTCTTCGGTGGAGTGCATCTGGTGGACCGCGTTGGTTCTCTCGTCCTCCTCCCACTGTGCAACTTAATCACGCGCCACTCCACTGCACCAACGACCCTGTTCATCCATCTCCCTACTGCCTGTCCGCCCCCCCGCCAGGCATACGGCATCATCACCACCATCTGCCTCTGCCTCATTGTCTTCGGAGGAGTGCACCTGGTGGACCGCGTCGGATCGCTGTTCATCATCCCGGCCGTCCTCGCTGTCATCTCCGTCTTCATCGGCATATTCCTCTCCCCAGACGCCGAATCACCAGGTGTGTGCGCAATTTGATGGTGGACGCACCTCACTGATTGACTGGGTGAGCGTGAGTTGGCTCTTCGTCATCCCCGCCGTCCTCGCTGTCATGTCCGTCTTTATTGGGATCGTCCTCTACCTCTCCCCAGACGCTGAATCACCAAGTAAGCCGTACTATGTTTGAGTTGTCTCCGCAGCCGGGTGGGTGGAACAGCTCTTCATCATATCATCCCCGCCGTCCTTCTCGCTGTCATCTCCGTCTTCATCGGTATATTCCTCTCTCCAGACGCTGAATCACCAGGTGAGTGCAATGCACTGGGAACCGGCTTGGTGAGGCACCATCCGAATCCCCGAGTATGCCTTGGGTTGCTGTCTTAGACTAGAGCTGACTCACCAGCCGGGTGGCCTGTTCCCTCTTCATCATCCCCACTGTCCTCGCTGTCATCTCCGTGCTCGTCATGGTCCGAATGGGGACAAGACGCACCAGACAAACCAGGCGTCATGGTCTGGATGGCATCTGATTATGACGAACCAGGCGTCATGGTCTGGATGGCATCTGATTATGACGAACCAGACGCCGACGCACCAGGTGCGCCTTTTGAACCTGCTTGAAGAACCCTCTGCATCACCAAGTGTCTCTCCCACTCGTTCTTTTCCTCTCTCTCTTGCACTCCCAACCAACGCTCTCATCTGCCAACCCCCTTCCACTCTGAACGTTCTTGCCTCTCTCTCACTCTCTCACTCCCACCTCCCGGCAGCTGGCTTGACTGGTCTCAGCACCACCACTCTCTTCGCCAACTGGTTACCAAGTTACCAGACCACCAACTCCAATGGCATACCTGACCCTAACGGCTCTTTCTACTGGGGCTTTAAGTACGTCTGTCGTTCCACTGGGCAGGTGGCTCACTTTGTTTCCTCATCGATCAGTTCGTTCGCATATTCGCATCACATTTTCACAGCACGTGTCTTTATTACACATCACGAGTATTCGCCTCACATCACGAATTCTTGCCTCACATCACGAATACTCGCCTCACATCACGAATACTCGCCTCACATCACGAATACTCGCCTCACATCCCGAATACTCGCCTCACATCTCGAATTCTTACCTCAAATCACGAATACTTGCCTCACATCACGAATACTCCCGTCGCATTGCAAATACTCGCCTCACTTCACGAACACTCCTCCGCCAATGCTCTTCCACACCCAACCCAACCCAACCGTAACCATCCATACCCTAACCCCCTCCCACAGCCAGCTGCTGTGGCTCTTCTACCCGGGAGTGACAGGCATCATGGACGGATCCAACCGCTCAGAGGCACTGCGGGATGGATTAATCCTAATCCTTCTACATACTCCCGTACCCTTCTGTACCCTGTCATACCCCCACCCACAGCCAGCTGCTGGGGCTCTTCAACCCTGGTGTGACGGGCATCATGGTGGGGTCTGACCGCTCACAGGCTCTGAGGGACACAGTAGAGCTTAACCTTCAGCCGTGCTCTTACTCTTCCACCGTCCACGCCCTACCCTACCCTACCCATCCGTACCCATCCATACCCATCTCTCCCACAGCCAGCTGCTGGACCTCTTCTATCCGGGAGTGACGGGCATCATGGCCGGATCCAACCGCTCAGAGGCGCTGAGGGACACTCAGCGGTCCATCCCCCTACCCTTCCCAATGCGCATTCCTTACCCCATCCCAACCACAGCCAGCTGCTGGGGCTCTTCTATCCCACAGACAGCATAGCGCCTCCTCCTCCTTCTCTCTCTCCTCCCGCTCTCTTATTCCTCACAGCCAGCTGCTGGGCCTCTTCTATCCGGGTGTGACGGGCATCATGGCGGGATCCCACCGCTCAGAGGCTCTGCGGGGACACATGCGGCCTCATGCCTCTCCTGTCAGCTCATGCCCTTTCCGACTCTACCCTACCCTACCCTACCCTACCCTACCCTACCCTACCCTACCCTACCCTACCCTACCCTACCCTACCCTACCCTACCCTACCCTACCCTACCCTACCCTACCCTACCCGTCCATACCCTTCTGTACCCTACCTACCACAGCCAGCTGCTGGGGCTGTTTTACCCGGGAGTGACGGGCATCATGGCGGGATCCAACCGCTCTGAGGCGCTGCGGGACACACAGCGGTCCATCCCCACGGGGACCCTGGCAGCCATTGTCTCAATGACTGGTCTCTATGTGGTCTCCATTCTGCTGTTTGGTGCCGTTGCCACCAGGGACCTGCTTGTCACTGACAGGTAGGAATGCTGGGTGGGTCAAGCGCGGTGGAGATGAGTGTGGCGTTGACTCATTCTCGGTCCATGACAGGGAGTAAGAAGCGGGGCGGGTGGGGAGTGGGAAACGGGGCGAGTGGGGAGTGCAGGGAGATGATATGAGTGTGCGGTCCATCCCCACCGGAAACTCTAGCAGCGATCGTGTCAATGACTGCGCTTTAAGTGGCCTCCATCCTGCTGTTCAACACTGTCTCTACCAGGGATTGGTGGTGTCTGGTCTGACAGGTGGGTCAAGAGCGGTGGAGATAGGTGTGTTTTGCCTCATACTCAGTCCATCCATTCCCACGGCCACTCACTATAGCAGAGCAGCCATTGTGTCGAGGTGACTTTTGAGTCGACTCAAAAATGACGCTTTATGTGGGCTCCATTCAGCTGTTTGGCGCTGTTGCCACCAGAGGCCAACTTCACCCAGTTTCATGCCTCCCTCTTCACCCAGTTTCATGCCTCCCTCTTCACCCAGTTTCATGCCTCCCTCTTCACCCAGTTTCATGCCTCCCTCTTCACCCAGTTTCATGCCTCCCTCTTCACCCAGTTTCATGCCTCCCTCTTCACCCAGTTTCATGCCTCCCTCTTCACCCAGTTTCATGCCTCCCTCTTCACCCAGTTTCATGCCTCCCTCTTCACCCAGTTTCATGCCTCCCTCTTCACCCAGTTTCATGCCTCCCTCTTCACCCAGTTTCATGCCTCCCTCTTCACCCAGTTTCATGCCTCCCTCTTCACCCAGTTTCATGCCTCCCTCTTCACCCAGTTTCATGCCTCCCTCTTCACCCAGTTTCATGCCTCCCTCTTCACCCAGTTTCATGCCTCCCTCTTCACCCAGTTTCATGCCTCCCTCTTCACCCAGTTTCATGCCTCCCTCTTCACCCCTCTCTCCCTCCCCCTATCAGTGCCAGCTGTCTAACACCAACTCAACCCATGCTCTCTTCCCCTGTTGAGTTTCAAGACGCCTCAAGCCGCTTCAAACCGCGCTCTAACCACCCCACTTCACCCCTATTCACGCCTGTTCACCCCCCTCTCCCCTCCCCCATCTATCAGGCTCCTCACTGCCACGATCGCATGGCCTGTGCCAGCTGTTGTCCAGGTGTGTGCCAGCTGTTGTCCAGGTGTGTGCCAGCTGTTGTCCAGGTGTGTGCCAGCTGTTGTCCAGGTGTGTGCCAGCTGTTGTCCAGGTGTGTGCCAGCTGTTGTCCAGGTGTGTGCCAGCTGTTGTCCAGGTGTGTGCCAGCTGTTGTCCATGTGTGTGCCAGCTGTTGTCCAGGTGTGTGCCAGCTGTTGTCCAGGTGTGTGCCAGTTATGTTTCAGGTGTGTGCCAGTTATGTTTCAGGTGTGTGCCAGTTATGTTTCAGGTGTGTGCCAGCTATGTTTCAGGTGTGTGCCAGCTATGTTTCAGGTGTGTGCCAGCTATGTTTCAGGTGTGTGCCAGTTATGTTTCAGGTGTGCCAGCTATGTTTCAAGTGTGTGCCAGCTATGTTTCAGGTGTGTGCCAGCTATGTTTCAGGTGTGTGCCAGCTATGTTTCAGGTGTGTGCCAGCTGTCGTCCAGGTTTGTCCGCAATTTCTACCTCTGTGTGTTTGTACCCGTTACCAGGATGCTCCATACAAACCTAACCTCGTCAGGATTGACACTTGCGCACATTAACAACGCGTTCAGAACATATAGTCGAACAGCCACCTCCCCTCACTCTCCCCTCAGCAACCCCCCTTCCATTCAGATGGGCATTGTCCTCTCAACGCTCGGAGCAGCAGCACAGAACCTCGTGGGGCCACCGCGGCTGGTGGCTGCGATTGCAACCCCAAACCCCAAACCTCAAACGGCTTATGAGTTCACTCAAACCCCAACCCCCACTCCACCCCATCCCACCGCAACCCCCGCGCACCACTTTCAGGTGGGCATTGTGCTGTCAACGCTGGGAGCAGCGCTGCAGAACCTCATGGGAGCACCTCAGCTGCTGGCTGCCCCGCCCATAGGTCCCTCCCCTTGTCCCTGCCCCTCCCTCCTCGCCTCTCCCCTCTTCTTTCAGGTGGGCATTGTGCTGTCAACGCTGGGAGCAGCTTTGCAGAATCTCATGGGGGCACCCCGGCTGCTGGCGGCGATAGCAAACGATAATGTGCTGCCAGTGCTAAATGCGTTCAAAGCGGAGAGCCATCAAGAGCCGCATCTAGCCACGCTCTTCACACTGCTGCTCTGCTGCAGGTATTGCTGGTAGTGCTGCTCTGTTGCTACTTATTGGTATATATCTGCTGATATACCTGTTGCGGGCGGCGATTGCAAATGGCAACGCCAAAGTGCTGCCGATGCTGAACGCATTCAAGGCGGAGAGCCACCAGGAGCCGCATCTGGCCACACTCTTCACTCTCCTGCTCTGCTGCAGGTGCTGCTCTGGTGCTTCTGCTCTGGTGCTTCTGCTGGTGATAGTAGTGGTACTGTTTGTATTGCTGGTTGTACTGCTGCTGGTAATGCTGCTGGTTGTGGTGCTGCCAGTGCTGAATGCATTGAAGGCGGAGAGCCATCAGGAACTGCCTTCTCATCCACAGCTTTGTATTTTGCTCGTGGGGGACGGAGACTACGCTCTTGTGCACGCACCACCCTTCTTCAGCGATGTGTTATTTCTCCTCTGTTTTCTTTGTGCACGCACCACCCTTCTTCAGCGATGTGTTATTTCTCCTCTGTTTTCTTTGTGCACGCACCACCCTGTCGTGTGCAGCGTTGTGCCGATCAGGGAGGTGGACTATGTCTTTCCCGTCATCACTATGTTCTTCCTCCTCTGCTGCTATTGCAAGTCTCACCATCCCCCCAACCTCCTCATCCCATGCCTGCACTGCAGCTTTGTGCTGATAGGAGACGTGGACTACGTGTCGCCAGTCATCACCATGTTCTTCCTGCTCTGCTACTGCGGGGTCAACCTCTCCTGTGCTCTCCTCGACCTCGTTGACGCCCCCTCCTGGCGCCCGCGCTGGCGCTGGCACCACTGGCTCGTGTCACTCGCAGGGGCTCTCCTCTGTCTTGGTACGTTCCTCCACTCCCACCCACGCACACTCCCACTTCCATTACCTCATCACATCAACACGTTCCTGGCGCCCCCACCCCCACCTCCTCCACCTCGTAGACGCCCCCTCCTGGCGCCCGCGCTGGCGCTGGCACCACTGGCTCGACTCCCTCGCTGGCGCCCTCCTTTGCCTGGGTAAGTGCGTGCGTGCCTGCGAGGAGAAGCCAGTGGTACCCACTGGTGGGTAAGTGCGTGCCTGCTCTCCTACCTGCATCGCCTCTTCCAACCCACCCTCTCCTTGTCATCACTCTGTGCTCTCCTCGACCTTGTTAATGCCCCCGCTGCTGCTGCCACCACTGGCTAGAACCCCTCACTGCAGCTGGACTCTGCCTCAGTAAGTTCCCGCACTCCAAAGCTGCAGGGTGTTTTTGAGAATTCTCAAAAACACCCTGCAGCACACTGGTGCGGGCACGACTGGCTAGAACCCCTCGCTGCAGCCCTACTCTCCCTCAGTAAGTTCTCGCTCTCCAACGTCCTCTCCTCTCCCTACATTACACAGCCCCACCTGTATCTTGACTGTTCCCCTTCCACTGCCTCATACGCCCCCTTCCTGGCGCCCGCACTGGCGTTGGCGCGACTGGCTCGTCACCTTTGCAGGAGGTCTTTGAGGCGCCTCAAAAACCACCTCGTTGGCGCGACTGGCTCGTCACCTTTGCAGGAGCGCTTCTCTGTGCCCATTGAGCCGACTCAGCACCACACCCTCATCCACTCTCTCTCCCCGAACCCCCGCCATCCTCTCTCCCCCCACCCCGTTCTTCCCCTTTCCCCAGCCATCATGTATCTTTGCTCCTGGCTCTTCACCCTCGACTGTCTCACCCTAGCATTGAGTCTTCCCTAACCCCATTCTTTCCCCCCTCCACCCCCTCCCCAACCCAGTCATCATGTATCTAATCTCCTGGTTCTTCACGCTCGTCTGTCTCACCCTAGCCGTCCTCATCTACATCTACGTCAGCATGGTGGGCAAGGCGGGCGACTGGGGCGACGGGGTCAAGTCGGCCTACATGCAGCTCGCGCTGCGCTCGCTGCACTTCCTGGGAGGTAAGTGTCTGATTTGGAGCGTCTACCCTGCTTGCCTCCGTCACCCTCTCTGCTCTCTGCTCCGTGCGACACACTCTCTGACATTAGACTGGGGCGACGGGGTCAAGTAAGCCTACATGCAGCTCGCCCTGCGCTCGCTGCACTTCCTGGGAGGTAAGCGTCTGATTTGGAGCGTCTCCCCTGCTTGCCTCCGTCACCCTCTCTGCTCTCTGCTCTCTGCTCCGTGCGACACACTCCCTGACATTAGACTGGGGCGATGGGGTCAAGTCAGCCTACATGCAGCTCGCCCTGCGCTCGCTGCACTTCCTGGGAGGTGAGTAGTTGAGTCAGAGCGTCCATCCCTTCTGTCTCACGCTCACAGCCCTCATCTGCATGTGTGGGAGCCCTGGTTGGCATGGCAAGGCGGCTGACTGGGGCGATGGGGTCGAATCCGCCCGCCTACATGGTCAGCCTACATGCAACTCGCCCTGCAATCTCTGCACTTCCTGGGAGGTGGGTGGGCGTTTGAGTCAGAATATCCATCTCTCCTGTCTCTATTCCTCCGCTTTGTTTCCCTGTCACATTCGCTCAAGTCCATCCCAAACACCCTATATTGCTCATCCTCTGCAAGCCATGGGGCCTGCTGCTGTTCCACTCTGCTCTTACCCTGATCTCTCTCTCTCTCTCCTCCCCTTCTCTTTCTCTCCCCTCCTCCCCACACACCACAGTCTCTGAGGTCCATCCCAAGAACTGGTACCCCATTCCGCTCATCCTCTGCAAGCCATGGGGCCTGCTCCCCCCCGACGCGCCCTGCCATCCACGCCTGGGGGATTTCGCCAAGTGCATGAGGAAGAAGGGCAGAGGAATGAGCATCTTTGTGTCTGTCTTAGAAGGGAATTACAGGTAAGGGGGGACGTTTGGCTTGATGGGGGCAAGGGTGGGGACTGCTCCCTCCCATACACAGACAGCTCCCTCCCATACACAGACAGCTCCCTCCCATACACAGACAGCTCCCTCCCATACACAGACAGCTCCCTCCCATACACAGACAGCTCCCTCCCATACACAGACAGCTCCCTCCCATACACAGACAGCTCCCTCCCATACACAGACAGCTCCCTCCCATACACAGACAGCTCCCTCCCATACACAGACAGCTCCCTCCCATACACAGACAGCTCCCTCCCATACACAGACAGCTCCCTCCCATACACAGACAGCTCCCTCCCATACACAGACAGCTCCCTCCCATACACAGACAGCTCCCTCCCATACACAGACAGCTCCCTCCCATACACAGACAGCTCCCTCCCATACACAGACAGCTCCCTCCCATACACAGACAGCTCCCTCCCATACACAGACAGCTCCCTCCCATACACAGACAGCTCCCTCCCATACACAGACAGCTCCCTCCCATACACAGACAGCTCCCTCCCATACACAGACAGCTCCCTCCCATACACAGACAGCTCCCTCCCATACACAGACAGCTCCCTCCCATACACAGACAGCTCCCTCCCATACACAGACAGCTCCCTCCCATACACAGACAGCTCCCTCCCATACACAGACAGCTCCCTCCCATACACAGACAGCTCCCTCCCATACACAGACAGCTCCCTCCCATACACAGACAGCTCCCTCCCATACACAGACAGCTCCCTCCCATACACAGACAGCTCCCTCCCATACACAGACAGCTCCCTCCCATACACAGACAGCTCCCTCCCATACACAGACAGCTCCCTCCCATACACAGACAGCTCCCTCCCATACACAGACAGCTCCCTCCCATACACAGACAGCTCCCTCCCATACACAGACAGCAACCAGTGGGAGGGGGTGATTCCTCCCATACACAGACAGCTACCAGTGGGAGGGGGTGATTCCTCCCATACACAGACAGCTACCAGTGGGAGGGGGTGATTCCTCCCATACACAGACAGCTACCAGTGGGAGGGGGTGATTCCTCCCATACACAGACAGCTACCAGTGGGAGGGGGTGATTCCTCCCATACACAGACAGCTACCAGTGGGAGGGGGTGATTCCTCCCATACACAGACAGCTACCAGTGGGAGGGGGTGATTCCTCCCATACACAGACAGCTACCAGTGGGAGGGGGTGATTCCTCCCATACACAGACAGCAACCAGTGGGAGGGGGTGATTCCTCCCATACACAGACAGCTACCAGTGGGAGGGGGTGATTCCTCCCATACACAGACAGCTACCAGTGGGAGGGGGTGATTCCTCCCATACACAGACAGCTACCAGTGGGAGGGGGTGATTCCTCCCATACACAGACAGCTACCAGTGGGAGGGGGTGATTCCTCCCATACACAGACAGCTACCAGTGGGAGGGGGTGATTCCTCCCATACACAGACAGCTACCAGTGGGAGGGGGTGATTCCTCCCATACACAGACAGCTACCAGTGGGAGGGGGTGATTCCTCCCATACACAGACAGCAACCAGTGGGAGGGGGTGATTCCTCCCATACACAGACAGCTACCAGTGGGAGGGGGTGATTCCTCCCATACACAGACAGCTACCAGTGGGAGGGGGTGATTCCTCCCATACACAGACAGCTACCAGTGGGAGGGGGTGATTCCTCCCATACACAGACAGCTACCAGTGGGAGGGGGTGGCGGAGGTAATGGTGGCATCCTCTATGAGGCAAGGGCCGGTTGATCGCCCTTCTGTTCGGCTGAATGCCGAGTCTCCTTCCCCCCACCCTCCCTCCTTTACTTTCCTCCCGCATCCCTTCCTCTCCCCTCCGCCAGCGCCCTAGCCTCAGAAGCCAGTAGGTCAGCCCGAGTTTTGCTTGCCTATATTGACAGCAACCAGTGCGAGGGCGTGGCGGAGGTGATTGTTGGATCCTCTGTGAGGGAAGGAGTGGGGATCGTAGGTGCCAGACTGACTGCCAAGAAGCTTCTCGCCCTCCCTTCTCTCCACCTTCCCCCCCTTCCCTTTCAGCACCCTAGCATCAGAGGCCAGTAGATCGGCCCGATGTCTCCTGGCATACATAGACAGCAACCAGTGCGAGGGCGTGGCGGAGGTGATGGTGGCATCCTCTGTGAGGCGAGGCGTGGGCATCGCCCTGCAGAGCATGGGGCTGGCTGGCTTAAAGCCCAACATCGTCTGCTTCAGATACCCCGAGGCGTGGCAGCAGCAAGAATCAAGGTACGTGCCGCGTTTTGAAAGCACAGGCACATACATGTGGGGGGGTTAAGAATCCCCCTTCATGCACAGCATGGGGCTGGCGGGCTTAAAGCCCAACATCGTCTGTTTCCAATACCCAGAGGCATGGCAGCAGCAAGAATCGAGGTATGTACGAGGCTGAAAGCCCGGCATTTTCAAGCTCGAAAACCTGTGGGAAGTGGGGATTCCCTTGGATGCAGAGCATGGGCTGGCGGGCTTAAAGCCCAACATTGTTTGTTTCAGATACCCTGAGGCGTGGCAGCAGCAAGAATCAAGGTACGGGCCTATAGTATTCTTCCTTGCTCCTGTAGTGGATTTAACAGCTGCAGTGCAAGAATAACTGTGTGAGTTTCCAAGATGCCTCAATTGCAGAGTTCGCCCATTTTGTGCGCATTGCTGCTCCTCGTACCTTTCTCTCCTGCTCTTTTTCCCCATCCCTCGTTACAGTCACATCTCCGCAACGTTTGTGAGCCTGATCAACGACAGCAACACGGCGGGCAAGGCGTGTGTGATTGTAAAGGGGCTGGACGAGTGGCCGGCAGAGGGGTGCGGGCAATACGGCACCATCGACCTGTTTTGGATTGTGAGGGATGGGGGCATCATGCTGCTGCTGTCCCAGCTGCTGCGGTCTCGACCCACCTTCGATGCTTGCAAGATTCAGGTGGGCTATATTTGAAACCTGGCTGGGTGGGTACCTCCCCAGCAGAGGGGTTTGGGCGGAGGGGTGCCGGCAGTACGGCACGATCAACCTGTTCTGGATCGTGAGGGATGGAGGCATCATGCTGTTGCTGTCGCAGCTCCTGCGCTCCCGACCCACCTTCGACGCATGCAAGATCCAGGTGGGGTACCTTGGAAACTCTGGTGGCTGCCTGGGTGATTCCTCCTCCTCCTCTCCTGCTCTCCCTGTGTGGGGTAATGAAGGGGCCAGCAGAGGGGTGTGGGCAGTAGGCCACAATCGACCTGTTCTGGATCGTGAGGGATGGAGGCATCATGCTGCTGCTGTCCCAGCTGCTGCGCTCCCGACCCACCTTCGACGCATGCAAGATTCAGGTGCGCTGTGTATGTTGGAAACCCGGCTGGCTGGGTAGGTGAACCGCCCTAAGGGACCGGCAGAGGGGTGCCGGCAGTACGGCACCATCGACCTGTTTTGGATTGTGAGGGATGGGGGCATCATGCTGCTGCTGTCCCAGCTGCTGCGGTCTCGACCCACCTTCGATGCTTGCAAGATTCAGGTGGGCTATATTTGAAACCTGGCTGGGTGGGTACCTCCCCAGCAGAGAAGTGTGGGCGGAGGGGTGCCGGCAGTACGGCACAATCAACCTGTTCTGGATCGTGAGGGATGGGGGTATCATGCTGCTGCTGTCCCAGCTGCTCCGGTCTCGACCCACCTTCGATGCTTGCAAGATTCTGGTGGGTGGGATGGGATTCATAGGTTGCTGATTCCTCCTCGCTATCCGGTCATCTATCACAGTTGCTGCTGTCCCAGCTGCTCAGGTCCCGACTCACCTTTGACGCATGCAAGATCCAGGTGGGTGGGATGGGATGGGATGGGATTCATATGATGTGAATTCAAGGTGGGTGATTCCTCCTCTTCATCTGGCTGCCTATCACAGTTGCTGCTGTTGCAGCTGCTGCGTTCCCGACTCACCTTCGACGCCTGCAAGATTCAGGTGGGCTTCTTTGGAAGCCAGGCTGGTTGGGTGATTCCTCCTCTCCTG